CCCCAAAGAGCCAGAACCTGGCACCCACAGTTCACACACCTGCTGGACATCTGTCAGGGGCCTGCAGGATTCTGGTGGGTGGGGGGGCGGGTTATGGGTCCAAAAGCCTGGTTGGGGAGGATTAAGGATACTGGTGGCTTTCAGCTCGATTTCCTGACTCAGAGTAGGTGGGGCACTTGGCCTCCCCCGTCTTATTGCTACTTGGGGGATTCTCGTAACCAGAGTGGCCCTCTCCATAGAATCAGGGGTCAGAGGGCAGAAAAGGTGCGGAGAAAGCTGCCCCAGTGGGGTTCAGAAAGAGTCAGTGGGGTGGGGAGGAGGGAGGTGAAGGGATCAGAAGGGGTAGTCCAGGCCCTTTCTCTGAAGCTGCGAGGCCTGCGTTCCGGGGGGGGCTGCCTGGGGCTACAGCACCGAGTATGTACTGGGTGTTTACGGGATCTGGTTGTGACTGTTGGTGTGAAATCCGCTTCCTGTGTCCGCAACACAATCAGGTCTATACCTGGGGGTTGGTTGCCATACAGAATTCCTGTTGTTGCCATACAGAATTCCTCACCTTCCCTCCTCCTTCTCCTCCAGGGCTTCCCAGCTCAGAGGAGGGCCCCCTCCCAATGCCCGAGCCTTCTCTCCCCTCCCCCAGCAGTCATAGGTCAGCTGAACCTCCAGCCTGAGGTCCTCAGCTGCTCAGCCTGGACGAAAGCCACCATACCTAGCTGACTCCTCCTTTCCCTCCCACCAGCCTCCAGAATCAGTTTTCCAGAAACCACCTCTGATCATATCAATCTGCTTTGGAATTTCCGAGGATCCCCACTGCCCAGGAGATACAGTGGAAAAAGCCACATGCGTCACAATCTGGTCCCCAGGGACCTTTCCAGATTCACCTCTTGCACACACACACACATCCTCCAGGCCAGATTCAGCCCCTCCTCCTCCCACCTCCACATCTTCCTCCTGCGCCCCCCCCCCACCGCCGCCCGGGCTGCCTGCGCTCTGCCCTTGCGGGGTCCACAGAGCCGCGCTCCCGTGGGGGCCCCACCAGCACTGCCCCTCCCTCCTCTGATCTTGTGTGGCTTTTTGCACCTTTTCTACCAAAACAACCCCAGCAAAATCCTGCCCTGGCTGAGAAGCACCGTGAGTGATTCACTGCCGAGCTCCGTGTTACTGTTGTTTGCTCACATGAAGTCATTGCTCAGTCATCGAGCATTTAAGGGACACCTACCACACTCCTGGCGCCGTCTGGGACCTGGGGCACGGCCATGATCAAGCCCCGGGCCCCCACCGTCATGGATGGGACTCAGACCGTCCCTGAAGAGAACTATCCAGTGAATTCCGGCCCTTGCAGAGGCCTTAGCTATTTTCGGCTGCCTCTCCAAACTCTGGTGCCCAGGGCCCCAGGAATCTGAAGCGGCCATCCCCTGTTTGCTCGCCCCCACAACCACCTGCCTTGTGACTGTGCCGAGCGGGCGCGGGGCGCTGGGTGCTGGTGCCGGGTCCCTGCCCTCCGCCGCCCAACTGCACACCTCCCCCAGCCCCGCACCAACAGCGCCCCCGCACACCGCGCTGCTGATGTTTAATTTTGCCGAACACCGAGTCCCAACCCCGTGTTAATTGGTTTTACTCCAGCCTTTTGTGCCTCCCATTAAATGAGGAAATGCCACCCATAAAATTTTAATTTTAAAAGCCAACTTGTTTGTTTTATATTGAAATTCCCCGGGCAGCTCCAGCAGAGGGAAACAGACACATTTTCGTTTCATTAAAGCAACTTGAGTGAAGATAAAAAAGAAGCTGAAAAATTAGATTTAAAAACAGCGAGAAGCATTTAAAGACAATGAAGGAAAATGAGCCGCCGCAGAAGGCGGCAGGGAACGTGGCCCCACCTGGGCCGACTGCACTCCTGCCGGGAGACAGGAGCCCAAGGGGGCTTCGGTGCACAGCCTAGGCCAGCCCTCCCAGAAGGCTGAAGCGCGGGACTCTCTCCTCCCTGAAAATCTGTGGCCTGATGTCCTAGAGGAAGCAGGCTAGAGGGACTCACTCCCCCACCCAACCCCAGGGGCCAGCGGCATCCTCTTCCTTAAGGACAAACTGCATGATGGGTATGCCCACTGTGTGACCTTGACTCTACCACTTGCTAGCTGTGTAATAAAGAGCAGTGACCTTAGTTTTCTCATCTGTAAAATGGAAATAATAATGGTACTTAGTTTATAGGGTGTTGCGAGGATGAAGTAGGTTAATACCTTGAAAACACTTCAAATGGAACCCGGGATACAGTAAGTGCTTAATAAATGTTACCTTTTATTATTCTCATCCTGCTGCTACCCTTCTACTTCACACTCCTAACACGTTTCCCTCTGTTGAGTGCACCTGCCTGCCTCCCTTGTCTACACATCCCCTCACCACTCAAAGCTGTCCTTTCAGTGATGTCCCTGAGCTAACGACAGCTAAGAGAGATGGGGGGAGGGTCTGAGTAGAGGCTCTGGGAGCCCCCATTCCACGGTCCAATTCTTGTGGCCCAAACTAACTCATTAAAATTTTATTATAATCCTTCTGAGGAAAGCCAATCTCCCTGGGTTCAAATCCCAGCTCCAATTACCAGCTGTGTGTTCTTGAGCAAGAATCTTTTGGGCCTCAGTCTCTCCGTCAATAAAAAGGAAATAAAAACTGGATCAGCCACACATTGTCATGAAGGGCCAATAAAGCAAGCTCTGCAGAGCGTCCAGTGAATAGCTGCTCTTCTGCATCTGGTCTAGGGGTCTGAGGCTGTGGAGGTGGAGAAGGAGTGGGGCAGGGGGTTCCATAATAGGGTGATCTTACCTCCCATTTCTCAGCTGTTGCCACAGGGTAATTAGTAATGACGCTCCCTTTCATTCTCAAAAGTGTCCTAATCTGGATGACTCATTATATGGTCATCCTATTTCACATCCCCCACCCGAGTGAGGGGCCTCAGAGCTTGCCCTGGGGTGCTGGGAAAGGGTCCTGACCCTTGACCTGTCTTCTGCCTGACTACTGAGTCCTCACCTTAAGCCCTAACCTCATATTTGGCTCACACGGTGGGGGAGAAGCCCAGGGAAAGACCCAGGGTTCAGGGAACGTGCTGGGATTGGAGCTGTTGGGCCTCCTGGCCTCTTCTCTGCATGCCAGAGGGCCATTTACGCAACCTCTGACCCTAACTTCCTCTTCTCTCCTTGGTGGGTGGGGGCACTGGATTAGTAAACGGACTCTCTCACCAATGGCTGCAAAGATGAAACCCAATCAGCACATAGATGTGAAAGGTTTGTCAACTGTGAAGTGTTGCTCACCGCCCGAGGGCCATCAGCTCCAGCCAGGAGAGCAGAATCCCTAGGCTCTGTTCCCGGAAGTAAGCAGAGACAGGGACACAGAGAGTCACAGAAGGGCTCCAATGGGGAAGGGGTGGTCTGCCCCACACCTCAGCACAGGCAAGCCCTACAACTCACAGCCTGTGTCCAGCAGACCCTGACCCGCCTCCCACAGGCCCTCCACACCTGCCCAGAGCCCCTCAGAGACACCTCCTGCAGGCGGGAGCCACTGCGCCCTGCCCCCCCCCCCGTCTCCCCTCTGCTCCACCCTGCGAGAGCTACCCCAGGGTGGACAATGAGCCAGCGGCCTCAAGCGCTGCTTCTCTGAAAAGCTTCAGGAGGATTCCACCTAAGTGGCTGCGGAGCGGCATCCATTTCTTCTGGGCAGATTTCTTTTCCAGGGTTCCCCAAGTGTACACCAAGGAACCCTAGGACTTAGTGACAGTTCTGAGTGGAACCAAGTGGGTGGGGTTCCAGGCGTACTTGCAAGCTCCCTCTTTCTCCCCCTCTCCCCTCCCCCTCTCCCCCCTCCCTCTCTGTCTTCAACCAGAGCATCTCTATTTTATATAATCCAAGATATTGCTTGCACAAAAGTTTCCACTGTTAGAATATTCTTTTCAAAAACACTGCTCTGTTCCTCTTCCCTCCCCCCTCCCTCGATTCCTCCCTTCCTTCCTTCCTGACCCATCTGTCCTAAACCCTTAGGTGCAGCAGAGCAAGGGGGACACCAGCTTGGGAAGGGGGTGCAGAAAGGACCAGAGCAGAATGCCAGAGCCAGGCGAGAAGGGGTCCATGTGGGCAGCAGCCCAGCACAGGTGTCAGAGTCCCAACAGGGTGAGGAGAGCATCTGTCACAAAGAGGCAGCCTGGCCTGGGGGGGTTGGAGTACGAATGGGCTGAGGGGACACCCACATACAGGGCAGCCTGGAGCAGGTATCAGAACTGGGTGGGGTTAAGTAGGGTAGCCATGCTGGGTTGATGGGCCCAGGGTGGGAAATCAGAGGTGAGTTGGATGAGGAGGGGTCCATACGTGGGCCAGCCCAGAGTGAGGGGCTGTCTGAATGGAGGGAAGGGCAGCCCCTGCCCCCCCCTCCACGGAAGGTCGGAGCCTGAGGGATCAGGGAAGCAGAAGGAGGAGGGACTGCCCAGGTCCCTCATCAGTCCAGCCTTGGGGCTTGCCTCCTTCTCTGCCCACCCAAACCCTTTCTAAAGCCAGGGAAGACCTGGGACACCTTCCCAAATCAACTGAAGTCCCCACCCATTCCCTGAGCACCAATGATGTGCCAGGCACTGTGCCTGGTACTGGGGAGAGAGCCAGGCTAGGGCTTACATCCCAGCACGGAGGGCAGACATGGAGCTACCATTCCGGAAGGGGAGGGGTGGGAGCATGGAGCAGGACGGTGTGACCTCTCATGGGGGATCAAGAGCTGTCCAGAGAGGAGGTGAGCTGAGGGGTGGCGTTGGAAGATGAGTTTGCAGGATGAGGGCGGCAATGACTCTGGACCTGGCTTCTTACCCTGCCCATCCTCACCTGCCCAGTTCATCCCATCCCAAAGGCCACAGCTGCCAAGCGCCTCACAAAAGGCCTTTCAATCCTGGGACCCCAAGGACTACACCCTAGTGACGGGCCCCTCGGGATAGACAAGGAGCTTCAGGGCCACCTCCCCATCTTTGTCCAGACCCCACTTGCCTTGGGGCTCTCCTGGATGGGAAGGTCCCAGTTCGGCCTTCCTCTCTGAGGTCTGACATCCCTCATAATTGAGAAGTCCTGCCTGGTGTTCAGCTCGAAGCCTTCCTGCGTCCTCTGTTCTAAAGACAAGTGGCTCATCGAAGGTCCTTTGCCAATACCACTGCAGAAGCGCTGATAATCTGTCCCACCAGGCTGTAGGGGGAAGAAACCCATTCAGTCAGTGAGTTGAGGGCTGTACCAAAACCCTCCTTCAGGCAGAGGCTCCCTAACCATCCTTATTTTTCCCTCAAAAGCCCTAACCTACATCCTTCCCTTGGGGGCCGCTCTGCTCTTCCCACACCCAGGTGAGAACCCCACTCATGCAGGGCACCCTGACTCCCCAGATGGCCCTTTTAGCACAGAAATCCTGCAAAGGGCTCACCCCCCGAAGTCCCTTCCATTTGGGCCTCTAGGTAGTCCAGCCAGCCCAGAAAAATAACTACTTGGAATCCATGTGACCTGATTTTCTAAGGCAGAGGGGAGAGAAGATACCCTCCGCTGCCCCATCGGGTTTCTAAGGGCCGCAGGGGAGATCCAGTTTGGACACCAGAAGGGACTTCCTCTAGTTCAGAGAGGAAGCACGGCGTCCCGGGTGCCCAGCCACCGTGCGGTCACCAGGAGGGGGCGCCTCAGGCCAGCCCACGGCCCGTGCCCGCGGAGGACTGGGCCGTGTCGCTGACAGCCAGTGAGGGTCAGGCGGGCCCTGGGAGAGCTGGGGGCGGGGCAACGGGATAGCTGGTGGAGGAGCCAGGACACCTGGGGGGGGAGGCGACACACCCCCGCGCCCTCCGGGACATGAGAAAGGGAGTGGCATCGTGTTCTGCCTAGTCATCGCCTGCGAGGACGCGTCATCTCTGATGTCAGGCCTTCGAGGGGCTTCGTTCCAGCTCCGGGCTCCAGGAAAGGGCGTCGCGGGGCCCAGAGGTTACACAACTTCCCCAAGGTCGCGCGAGAAGGGCCCGGCCCGCCAGGGGATCCAGACCTGGCTCGGTGCCCGCCGGCACGGTCCGCAGGTGGCCGGGCTCCACGCAGCACACTTGACAAACCCGTGGCCTTGGCCTAGCATCCTTCTTCCCGGCTCTAAATGGTCTTTCATGCTAAGCTCTCCTCAGCGGCTGTAGCATAAAAAAGAGCCTCTTGAAACCATATGTGTTCTGAAATGAATTCAGGCCCCGGGTCCAGGGGGAGGGAGGAGGGGGAGAATCCTTCAGTTCCAGCAGCGGAGTCTGCGGCCCTTCTGCCCAGCCCTGCTCGGACCCGCCAGCGCGCCAGGGACACAAGGGCCCTCAGACGGCACCGAAGGGGTCTCCTTTTGAAGGTTCGCCGGTCCTTGTGCTCTGAGTGGTTGGAGTTCGGTCCATTATGAGAAATCTCCTTTTGAGGATGGACATATTTAAATCCAGATGTTGTCCCGGCAGAACAAAAAGCTCTCTCCAAATTCCCTTTACGAAGAAGTAGGTTCTCCTTTAAAGGAATAACATCTCTTGAGAAGTGGATTTTTTTTTTTTCCTCCCAGCCAAGAACTGCTGCTCTGAATGTTTTAAAACCGATTTAATAGCCTGTCTCCATCCCACTTCAGATGCCAAGACGCCGGCAACTAGGTGAATGTCACCCGCTGATGGATTCAATAGATTGACTATGGCTTTACTAAGAAGAGAATGTTGGATTTTTGTTTAAAATGTGTTATTTATTTAGGTAGATTTCTTTTAATTCAAGACATGCATTCCAATGGGACAAGGGTCACGTGAAATACAGATTGTCAAAAAAAACTTTCCCAATTGTATACTTTGCTCGTTCAAAAATGCTTAAGTAACAACTTTTCAGAAAAGGATGCATTAAATATACATATCAATTGTAAGACAGTCCCAGTTTCAGTAATATTCACTTTTAAGTATACCTTAGAATAGGAGAAATATGGATTACATATTTGTTGACTATAAGATGTGGTTATAGAGCCAAGTAGGCTTTTTTATCAGTAGAGCCCAGTGTTTTCGTTGAGACTATCTGAGGGCTCAAAGCAGGATCCTTTCCTCACCTGACTTCCACCTGCTCCTGACAGACACAGAGTGGGTTCCCAGTTCTGGTCTGGAGCCAGGTGGGGTGATACTTCGCTCCCGCCTCCGCCCCTGGGTCTTCTCCTCTCCAAGGTCAGTATACCCAGTTCTTCACCGTCCTTTGCCCTCCACGGACTGGAATCTAGCCTCTCCCTGCCCCTTCAAAAGCGGGGCAACCAGGGCGCCTGGGTGGCTCAGTTGGTTAGGCGACTGCCTTCGGCTCAGGTCATGATCCTGGAGTCCTGGGATCGAGTCCTGCATCGGGCTCCCTGCTCAGTGGGGAGTCTGCTTCTCCCTCTGACCCTCCCCCTTCTCATGCTCTCTCTATTTCATCTCTCTCTCAAATAAACAAATAAACTCTTAAAAAAAAAAAAAAAGCAGGGGAACCAGAATTGAACCCAACCCTCCAGCCATCACCTCCCTTATCCTCAACTCTATATCTCTACAGATGCAGCCTAAGATCACATTAGTTTGGGCAGCCATTTAACGTGGGATTATATTGAACCTTTAGCCAAAACTTTTTCATGAAAAATCTTTTCACTTTACATCCATCCCTATTCCATTTTACTTCAGGGGAGTTAGTCAATCATGTCGTCTGCTTTAGATGCTTTTGAACCCTGGTTTGATCATTTAAAATACCAGCCACTGCGCCTAGTCTTAGGTCTTCTGCAAAATGAATAAGCATGCCTTTGGTTCCTTTACTCCAGCTACTGATAGAGGTGTTGCATGGTGATCTTGACCCAGCCAGCCAGTGTCTCTGGGACCTCAGTTTCCCCATCAATAATGGAGAAGAGTGAAGTATGAGCTCTGTTATCAGAGCTCGTGCACTGTGAGTCAGACACTTATGTTAACGTTGTGACATTTAATTCCTCACATCAATTCTCTGACGGAGGAATTCTCCTCCTCCTCATTCTGCAGATGAGGAAAACAGGGACTTGCTGGATTCGAACCCAGTTCTGTCTGGCACCCAATCCTTGCTTCTAGCCACACAGTTTTAGCCACTGGCCAGTATCTTCAGTATGGCCTAGAATTGGGCCCACTAGGAGACATTTTCTTGCAAGCTGCAACAGTGTTCCTTGGGCACCCCTCAAAGACCCCAAGTCCTATGCTTGGATCAGAAGCTGTGGAGAGCAGATTTACAGGGACTTCGGAAAGAACACCAGATGCCTCCACCATGCTCTGTGTGTGCGTGTGCATGCGTGCGCATGTGTATGAACAGATGATCAGAGACAAATAACGATCACAGGAAAATGGACCCTTTCCCTCACCCCATGCCTGATTCTTCCTCAGAGCAAGGCAGATTAAAAACTTCAAGGACAACCGAAACGAAGGCATTGGCCAGCTCTGAGGAGCCGCAGGCTTGGCGTCAGAACTTCAGGTCAGTTTTGGTGCATAAAGGAAGCCGTGCTTCTTACACGCCTGAGTGTGCAGTCTGGGAGTCAGAGCCGGCTCGCCCCCTCCCGGGGTGCAGATGATGTAGACATGTCACCTCACTCAGAACTCCCACAGGCCCTGTGAAGAAGCCACTATTTTCAGAGATTGGTCTGGGATGAAGGCAATAAAGTTTAATCTACTGGCCAAAGGCCCTTCCCAGATCCTGAGGGGGAGGTGCTTAGCTTTCCATTTGTAAGTTTTAAGAGGGCTCCCCCAAATTGCAGAAGCTTCAGGCCCCACAAAACCCACCCCTATTCCTGTCCCCATTTTCTAGATGGAGGAAAATGTGACACAGAGAAGTCAAGCAAGTTTATGGAGGAGACAGGGCGAAGAGGTGGTGAGGTCAGGATCCAAACTCTTAGCTCCCTCCAATGAACCCCAAGGGTTCTGAGGGGTTCTCTCAGGCGATTCAGCACTACCAGCTTCTGCTATTTCTATATTGTAATCAATTAATAAATATTTTTAATTTTTAAAAGGGAACTGTTTGAGAAACTTTTGAGTGCTTACCAAGTGGGCATTCACAGTTACTCAGTCCTTTTAGTGTGGCTGAATACTGCCAGTTTTGCCTATGAAACTGTTTTTGAATTATTTTTATTACAATAACAAATTCATAGTCTATGCCCATAATGGATCATTGGTTAAAGACAAAAATTCTTTTTTTTTTTTTTTTAAAGTGTATTTATTTCAGAGAGAGAGCAGGAGGAGGGGCAGAGGGAGAGAGAGAATGCTCGAGCAGACACCCCACTGAGTGTGGAGCTCAACACAGAGCTTGGCTCAATCTCATGACCCTGAGATCATGACCTGAGCTGAAATCAAGAGCCGGCTGCCTAACCGATTGAACCACCCAGGCGCCCCCAAACATTCTTTTTTTTTTTTAAAGAAAAAAAAGGATGCTGAAATACAATCAGGACTTTTTTTAAAGATTTTATCTTTAAGTAATCTCTACACCCAAGATAGGGCTCGAACCCACAACGCCAAGATCAAGAGTCGCACACTCTACTGAGCCAGCCAGGTGCCCCGGTCAGGACAACTTTTTAGTGAAAATATTTCTGCAGGGGCCCCTGGGTGGCTCAGTCAT